AACACCCTTACTAACTTTATTTTTATTATTTTATTTTTTAAAATCAAACATTCTCCTAATCTAATAAAATAAAAGTAAATCAAATATTTAAATTTTTATTTAAATCTCACCACACCCTCACATCCTACCAAATCCACCACTCACTCCTTAATTATATGATTAAATCTATCTTAGAGAAGAGCAAATGTTGGGGAATCTCGTTTCATTGATCTTGAGGAAGATAAAATGTCTGATATAAAATAAGAAAAAAGTTAGATAAATAAAATAAATATTCAATTATATGATTATTTAAGAACATAAACTTTAAACTCAAATAATTATCTGTTATTGCAATCCATCATAGAGAAACTTTTTCAAATAAAATAAATATATTTTTTTAAGTTTTAAAATTTTCATGTTAAATGTTTCACTATCAATTTTTAATAAATGCTTTTTTAGGTTTCACGCAGATCATTAATGACAGTGTCTTAAGCATTGATACTCATTAAATGGATGACAAAAATTTATTTAAGGATGGTGAAGAAACTCAATAAACACGGTCATATTTTTCTTCGGTAATTACTCAAAACCGAAGTAAAATGTGTTTCTTAATATATAAAAAATACAATAAAATATATTTCATCCCAAGTGTCACGTACCTCTTAGTTTTTGTCAAAAACCGAGGAGAATTTTTTTTAATTACATTGTTTATACATAATATTAAAATAAATTATTTAAATAAATCAAGACTTTCACTATGAGTTCTTGAAGAACAACAAATCTTTTCAAATTTATGATAAATTATTTATTTCAACCAAGAGAATTTTTTTTGCACTTACAATCCATCATAGAGAGATTTCATAATATTGAGAAAATATTTTTATGACAAATGGTTTCACATGAAAGAGAATAAGATAATTGTGTTTAAAATAAATTTCTCAACATTGCCACTCGAGAAAAACAATAAATTTCTCAATAATTTTCTTTGATTGACAACATATAAAGCTTATTTAAAAAATACAACAACATTATTATGTTGGGATATATTGCAAGATCAGAAATAATATTTTGTTCAAGATAGAAAAACATTAAAGTTTTTTTATGTTTTGCAATCAGCAAAAAGAATTATGTGTACAAGTTTAGAGCGGCTACATATAAATTATAGTAAAATTTAATAATCTAATTCAGTTGTTATTAAATATAATCAAAGAAATGGATAATTAATTTAAAAAAAAAAAAATATAAAAAAAAAAACACCATTAAAAAAAATAAACAGCGGTTTGAGATTCGAAACATGTTCTGAATTATTTTTCTCGGAGTTATATTTAGAAACCGATATATTATGTGGTATTTATTACTCTATCCGTCATATTTAGAAACCGATATATTATGTGATATTTATTACTCTATCCGTCTCACAATTATTATTTTTTTTAGATTTTCACACATTTTACGATATGATTAATTATGTTGATTTCAATGATAAAATAAATGTTATTTAATAATATAATCTTTTTAATAATAAATAGTGAAGTAATTATATGATTTAAAAATATTAAATAAAGATAAGTTAATAGAAAAAAATAATAAATATCGCATTTGTATTTTAAAATGATAAATAATTTAAGACAAATAAAAATAAAAAAAATAACACTTATTATGAAACAGAGCGAATAAATAAATAAATAAAATATTATGAAACAGAGGGAATAAATAAATAAATAAAATATAATGTGCTTTAATATTATAATTTAATTTTTAGTTAGGTGAGATAAAAACTTTATCATGAAATATATTTTTTTTGAAAAGAGAGCAACCATTATGTAGATGCTATAGTTAATATAGGGTTAACTTTTGATGACTTCACTCGGTGGAATTCCTCCAATTATAATTAGAGAAGACCTGATCAAAAATAGGCTTGAGCTTCTTTTTATAAATTTTGTGAGTTTCTTTGAGGATTTGGTTTGGTCCATTTCTTTTGTTCTCCACTTTTCCTTTTATATCATATTTGAGTGTCCTCTTCACGAACACACCGGCTTAAAAAAAAAAGAAGAGATTCATTATAATGGACAAAATAATTTTACATTAATATACAATCAACATTCATGTATTCACTAAATCAGACATGTATTTTTAAATGACTTTCTTTTAGACAACATTGTAAATTATTTTACAATGTAAAGTCATTAAACTCCATTTTTAGACAAGTCTAATTTATATAACAATATTAATATTAATATATGGTTTTGTTGGTTAAAAATAATAATTAATTGATAAGTTAGCTGATGATTTATAGTTTATAATTGATAGATGGTGACTGATATTTATAGCTTATAGTTAATAATTGATTATTTATAACTGATAAACTAATTAAAATGTTTGATAAAATTAATAGTTTAATTAGCTAATAAAATAAAATAATATAAAAGAGATATAATAATTATTATTTTATTTTAAAATTATAAAAAATAGTGGTGAATTTTAGTTAAAATAATAAAAATAAAGGTGAAAAAAAGATAAATTATAAATTAAAACGCTATTTAAAATAAGTAAATAACGTCGAAAAAACAAACTATAAACTAATAAAATAATTAATAAACTCGTAATAAAAAAACGGCTATCAAATAGATATTTTATTATTATATAAATTTATAAATTATAAATTTAAAAAATATCTTATCAAATAGAATTTATATATATATCAATACATATTCTATCATAAAAAAAAGTGTAATCAAAATTAAAATTAAATAAATATTTTTAAGTTGAAAACTCTGGTATCTTGAATATGAGGGTGTCTTTATCCAATCAAATAAAAGTACTCAATATCACATGACATTTTTCTTTTATTTTATTTTTAAAAAAATTAAAAAAATAAATAATTTACCATATCTAATTAAAACTTATGGATATCATATCTAAGAATTTATGTATTTTTAATATTTTTTTTTATGAATAAGCAAAGAAAGCGAATAGACGCTGATATACAAATATAGTAAGTAAATGTAAACAGTCAGCTGAGCGAGCAATGAACTGATTTTCCTATTTTAAACGCTACCGTTTCCATTTTGGCGAGTTATTTATGAATATTAATTGAAATTTGGTCAAAGGAAGTCAGCTTTCTCATCTCTCAGATCTAAATGCGCTGTGGTAACATTTCTCTTACTTTTGTTTCTTGCATTCTTTTTTTTTCTTCTCTGTTTCTTAAATTACTTTCAACTAACCTTTTCTATCCTATGCTTCATCCTCTTAACAACTCTCTGAATTATAAGTGTCTAATCATTTCTCTACTTTTTAATTTAAAGGAATTTTTTTAATGTGCTGTTTCTTGAACCTTTTAAACAACTTTCATTAGGTTTTAGATTATAATCTGTAGCTTGATGTTTGGTTCATGTCATTTTTCAATTTCTAAGTTGAGGTATGAAATTTAAACTTTCCCTAATCTAATTGAGATGTTGCGACTTTCATCATAGGCCATGGATAGGTCTGATTAGAGTGGGAAGATTTGTGTTGTAACTTGCGTCATTATGTTGCCTGGGGCTGCTGAAAAGGCTAGTTTAGGAGACATTTACTTTCCAGCCGTGGATGATAATGCTAAGGAACAGATTATGAGTGCACTAAGAGTGAGTGACCAAGAAGAAAGTATAATCGGATTATGCGGGCCAGATAAAAGAGTCAACCATTCAGTAATAACAGCTATAAGAAGAGCTGAGAGAGATCAATTGTTTCAAAAGATTGTTACAGCAATTGTGACTAAGAAACTAGACATTACAAATATCCAAAGGCAAATTGGTGATGACATAGATCTCAATTTTGACGATAAGATGAATCTAACTGAATCAACTTTCTGCATGTGTTTTGGTAATAACAAAAGAATGACCACTGCTGAAAGAGCTAGTCTTCTGTGTGCTAAGATGAAGAAGTTGCAAACAGTCCTAGTAGTACTGTTTGATCTTCATGGCCGACTCGATTTAGGTGAGATTGGTATTCCCTTTGGTGAAGATCATAATGGTTGCAAGATATTGTTGACATCTTCAAGTTTGGAGGTTTTATCCAAACAAATGAAGGTTCATAAACTGATACAAATATCCGAGAGATAACATGATTTTCTTATATAGCTAGACGGTTTGAAGCAGATTTGATGAAAACCTGAAGTCCAAACATGCTTATCGGTTGGTAAACATCATGTTTGAGTGATTAAAGGTTGACAAGTACTTTGTTGGTGTAGACAAACTAAGACTTAGCTTTTTTCTGTCAAATGTGTGTGCCTGTAATAAAAAAAATATGAATCCGGTTCAGATAATAATAATGATTGTCACAGTATTACTTTCACCGTATTAATTATAAGCTTCTAACTATTTGTCTAGTTGAAGTAGAACGTTAATTTCCTTTTTTTTTAGCTAATTTATTTTTGTCTATCTTTAGTCGGCTGTTTAGATAATGTCATTTGATTCCATCACATATCTTTTAAACAACTTTTATTATGTTTTAAATAATAGACTCTGTAGATTGATGTTTGGCTCATGTGGATTTTCTATTTCAGGAGGAGGCATGAAATTTAAACTTTTGCTAATCTAATTGTGCGATGCAACTCTCAATATGGGCCAGGGATGAGTCTGCCTCGTGAGTATAGAATGTGCAACACACTTATGCATGCAATATCAACTACTGATATATAAATCAATACTAGTTAATATTCCTTATTTGAATGAGTCGAATACATTAGAAGTGTACCTACTGTGTGCCCCTTTTCCATTAAACGATTGAATGAAATTTTTTCAACAAATTTCAAAACCTGAAGACACAAACACATCTTCATTCCATACCTCCAAACTTTGTTTCTGTGACATGAAAGATAAAAATAACCATTTGCAGTGATAACTATATTAGTCAGAAAATCAGGGACAACATTTTGTATAATACATACGGCTAATATCTTAATCTTCTTCTCTTACTGGATTCCCAATCCTCCATCATTTCTCTTTTCTTAACCAAATTGTTTTGATAATTTTTGTGCCATTATGTCGTCTGAGGACTCAGATGGGTTTGAGAGGGCTAATTTTGGAGACATTTACATTCCTACGGTGGATGATAAGGTTAAGAAACAGATTATGGATGCACTAATAGTGACAGACCAAGGAGAAAATATAGTTGGATTATGCGGGCCACATAAAAGAGTCAAGCATTTTGTAAAAACAGCTGTAAGAAGAGCTGAGAGAGATCAATTGTTCCAAAAGATTGTCACAGCAACAGTGACCAAGAAGCCAGACATTACAAAGATTCAAACACAACTTGGTATTACAATAGGTCTCAATTTTGATGACACAACGAATCAAGGTGAATCTACTTTCTGCACTTGTTTTGGTAATAACAAAAGAATGACAACTGTTGAAAGAGCTAATCTTTTGTGTGCTAAGATGAAGGAGCTGCAAACCGTTCTAGTTGTACTGTATGATCTTCATGGCAGACTCGATATAGGCAAGATTGGTATCCCATTTGGTGAAGATCATAATGGTTGCAAGATGTTGCTGACTTCTAAAAGTTTGGATGTTTTATCCAAAGAAATGAAGGTTCATAAATTGATAGAATTATCAGAGACGTGATATGATTCTCTTACAAGTTACAACTAAAGGATTTGAAGCAGAGTTGATGAAAATGAAGTCCAAACATACAAATTGTTTGGAAAACACCATGTTGGAGAGATTAGAGGTTGACAACTGCTTTGTAGGTTATTTCGGTCAAATGGTTGTGCTTATAATCTAAGATATGACTATTTCAGTTCAAATGATAATAACTCTGATGATACTGTCACCGTATTTATTATTGGCAGTGGACCATATGCCTAAGTGGAAATCGATGTTGGCTTATAATATAGATTGAGTGTTTGGTTGTGGTGGTTCTCTGATTAAGTAGTTTTCTTTCTTATTCACTCTCTTTAATTATTATATTTATAACATATGCACTCCTTCTTCTTGTCGTGACTCGGATACCACATTTTCGGAAGCCTTACGTATTATGAAATCAACCTTAACCGTATCGTCTAGCGAGACACAAACAACCCACCATTGGCATAACAAAATCTCAAATACAGGCAAACAATTAAAACTGACATTCCATAATAGCGAAAACCGTAGTATGGATCGATGGTCAGATATTTTCTGATACTACAACATCCTCATTTTAAAACAAGTGTAGAGCATACTTGCATCTGTATGGGAAAATTATGATATGAACATAATAACTAAAGCTTTTAGAGAGAAAACAAAGGTTTTAAGAACATGTTTATACTTGAGCACACATGTTTTATTTCTTATTGCTTCTACCTTAAGCTGATACAAGACGCCCCCTTTTACAGCTAAGGAGATCCAGCAAAGACAGGAAAAACACTATTTACAAGCATGCCATCATAAACATTATTGGAATGCCTTTTTCAAATGGTCGACACACTTATAACTTATAGATGTTGGGAATGTAATTCCTTGTGTCAAAGCAGATTATGCTCGACAGGATTAAGGATGTGTCAAAATTTGTAGTGTGTGTTGAGTAACATTAGATGTTGAAGTGTCGAATCAGATTGCTTGACACATGATTTCAACTTAGACCAAAATAAGTATTTTGGGCTTTTGTATTTTTTGGGCTTTATCTTAGGGAGCAAGCTAGCTCAATTATAAATAGGGAGTAACCCTATTATGAATTGTAACACACAACAGAAAGTGCAGTTACACAGTTGAATAATATTTTCTCAGTTTGAGAGCAGAGGGTTACTGTGCAAAAATCATTTTCGTCTTCCCTAATTTCGTAAAACCCTGACCTTCCTTATTCAATTTTTCTTTCTTCTCCCATTAAAAATTGTTGCGTATAATCATTCTTTCAATCAAGGTGTGATTGATTCACTCAAATGAAGAGTGAAGAACAAAGGATTCCGATTGGTTGATTAAATCTTGTTCGTCAAAATTGGTTCAGAATTACTCAAGGTCTTGGGTTAATTCCAATAATAGATACGTTATTGTAGTAATATTACACAAGAAGACCAAACATCATTATTCATAAACATGCTTGTGACACATAAGGGATACATATCCAATTAGTCTTTAAAGATGAGCTCATGACTTGGAGACATAGTCTGATCGGATAAGTATTCTTCTGAAAAGTAACCCAGATAAGGAGATGATTCATACTGTCACGTGTCATCCAACATTTTGCTTTGGGTTTCTTCCACACGTCCTTATGATGACTCGGTTTTCGTTGGAGAATATTGTTTCTGCTTAAGAGTTTGACCTGAGCTTTCTCCACTTTCTCGTATCCTAATCCTCTCATGACTTATGCATGCTATATCAGCTTTGATTTTTCCTTAATCATTAAGATTGATGAAGTTGACATAATCCATTAATTCTATTGTAAATTTTAAACTTGGAGGGTAATCATCAATAGTTTACCATAAATAGGCATAATTCTTAGAAATAAGGAGTTTAGTTATGGGATCTATTTGATATGGCCTGTGTAAGAAGAAAACAATATTGAGTTTGCCAATGACTTCTAGGGCTAATTTTCTTTTCTTGACTTCGTCTAGGACTGATATTAATTGATTTTTCCATGATTGCAATGGAGAATACCATTCAAGAGTAGTTCAGATTGACGACCTATGGCTCTTAGGATCCATTATGTAGTTATAAATGGCTTTAGTTGGGACAATAACATGCATAACATATAGACTATTTTGCACACCAAATATACCATAAATGTTTTTTTTTTGTAAATTTAAAATTTGGATTTATTTTGAATGGTAGAAGAAAATGTGTGTCTGAAAAGTAAGGAGTATGATCTGGGAGTTTCTTTTTATTATCTTAGTCATGAAATAAAAAAGATTATTTCTGGTATATTCTTTGAATTGGGATGGTGAGGAAGACATATCTATCCCAGGAGGAATCATGGAAAAAGTGTATTTGATAGTAATGATTTGAACGACTCTACTACGAAAAATATATACAACAACTGTTGGAAAATGAATAACATCACGTGTGACCTGCCATTGTTACGTAGGGTGTGGTTGTATATTCGCTACTTACAATCATAGTCTTATGACCATTGTAAAAAACCTAAAAGCGTGTGATATATTATCAAGGTTGATAACCTAATTGTTGTAATATATTAAAGGTCCCAGATTCGATTCCCAACGAATTTTACGTATATAACCACGGTCTTCTATAAAAGCCGTGGTTAAATTATATAATATAATTATATAACTACAATCATAATTAAAAATAATCGTTAATTATATGCTTTTTTTAAAAAAATATTTCTGCATTTTAAATTTTTTTCATTTTTTAACCTGTATTGTTTAAATTTCAACAACAATTGAAGATTTATTTTTGCATTGTGTTCCATTTTATAACCTGTATTATTTAAACGGTAACAGAACACAAACATCAATTGAAGATATATTTGTGCATTATACATGTTCCATTTTATAACTTGTATTGTTTAAACTGTAACAGAATAGAAACAACAATTGAAGATGTATATTAAAACATTCAAACTCAAATACTTATTTATTTCATCAAATAAAAAATATTATTTACAACACTCAAACTCAAATGTACATAATATATATATATATATATATATATATATATATATATATATATATATATATATATATATATATATATATATATATATATATATATATATATATATATATATATATATATATATATATAGAGAGAGAGAGAGAGAGAGAGAGAGAGAGAGAGAGAGAGAGAGAGAGAGAGAGAGAGAGAGAGAGAGAGAGAGAGAGAGAGAGAGAGAGAGAGAGAGAATCCACTTACTCAAAGAGTAAGTTTTTATAATTTACACCACAATCATAACTTACTCTTGAAGTAAGTTGATCCCCGCTCATATATATATATATATATATATATATATATATATATATATATATATATATATATATATATATATATATATATATATATATATATATATATATATATATATATATATATATATATATATATATATATATATATATATATATATATATATATATATATATATATATATATATATATATATATCATATTTGAGGATCCGTAAGCGCATTGAACATATACGCCCAACATTTACGAATGTCTACAAAGTCTTTGCATGGGAACGATGTTTCATCATTAAAAATCTGCATAAAATATAGCAGATTAAACTCATTATTGAGAATCCATAAGTGCATTGTAAACAATTCATTATATATATATATATATATATATATATATATATATATATATATATATATATATATATATATATATATGATCCCATTTATCAACAATGTCAGCGAAGATAATGTTTAACATGTGTTTCATTATATAATAACCATACTCGAATCCCTTTGGTTGTTTCCTCGTCTACAAAAATAAACATTAATTTCATGAATTTTATAAACACACATGCATGTAACAATATATATAAATGAATGACACATGTAATATAACCACTTACATTAGGCAAGATAAATGTTTGCTTTTTATTTTTTATTTTTTTAATATTGTTCAACATATTGTGTCACTGCACAACACTGTACATTAAAAATATTTTACGGGTTAAACCAATTACAAAGTCAAAGAAAATATATATTACTAAAAAGTTTCATATAAACATAAACTTACCCATTAATAATTTGCCCCATTTTATGTTTGAGTGGTTTATGTAAGGAACACAATATCGTTATCGTATTCGTCATAAGCGATATGATGATCAATTGTCAATGATCACTGAATAAACATGAGCATATATATAATTAGTATTTTCTAAAGAAAAAACTAACTATAAAAGATAAAGCAAAATTTCAAAATTATTTACGCATTGAGAAATGGTGCTAAGTAACATTTTTCCCCATTGACTTAACCGTTCTGAAATGTATAAGTCAATCTCTTTTAGCTTATCATTTGTCCATCGACTATTATACGGATCCAAGATGCCATAAATATTCGATTTATTTAACTCTATACATACACGATGAATGTACCTAAATGGTTAAACAAAATTCAAAAAATATATAAGGAAATACGAAAATGATAATGTACTATAAATAATGACATGCATGTCCAAATATATACTTATGTGCACCAAACTTGCAATATCCCTACGTCAAACTAATTTTTTCCAGAGAAAATCTCGTATATCACTAGGAGAAGAATAGAAGATCTCTACCGATTGAAAATGCTCTAGAGGAAGAAAATACGTGTCATCGCTTTCCGCAACCAAAACGTATAACATGACGATTTCATTTGCGGAAGGATCCAATAACTCATTGACCTCTTTAGCGGGGGTGGCTGAACAATTTTTTCCTTTAGTGCTAGAATGACGTACAATATGTTTTTGGGGAACTTGATCATCAACATTATCATCATTTTCATCCATACGTTGTGATAAGCAACCACTTATTCTCTACGACATAACATTAATTTTGAACACAATACATAATAAACACATTTCTATATTTTCTAACTTTTCAGATAAAACATAATATATCATACATTTCATATAAAACACTAGCATTTCAAATAAAACACTTATCGCATATAACTCTTCTAACTTTTTTATGTCT